AAACTGGTTGAATGTGAATTAAGCGCATTTTAAGTTTTGTAATCGTTTTTTCTATGATAAGCCATATATATACATATACATATATACACACGTAAATATATCTTTTGAAATTAGAATAAAAAGCCGCAACATATATTTATTACTATATTAATAGAACTCGGTAAACTTCATTGGTTTTCTAATTTTTTACAATGTTCCAAAAATATTAATTAAAAATCTCAAAGTTTTAATAATTTAGTTCAACTGATCGTATCTTTCATCGACTGAAAACAATGCAGTATCAAGCAAAAAATAAATTAATTTAGAATTGCTAACCGCGAATTGGCTATTTTTCCCCTCATAATGAGGAACAGTATTTTGTGTTTTTTCAACCGAACTTGGGCATGAATGCGATATATTTAAATACGATTTTTGTATACTATAGACAAATGAAATATATAAAGTAATCTTTTAATTCGAAGTCGTAGATAATTTCCAACAGTACGGAGCCAGAAGCCAAACACCCAATGTCACAATCGATTTATTGAAAACAAAGTTTGGTGAATGTGTTATCTCAGTCTTAGTCAATTGGTAGACGCAGTCATGCGATTTGACGCCGTTTTAGTTTTAATAAAAAAAAAAAAAACTTTTGTAGCTTAACAAATTCAAGATGTATACTATATATAATAAAATACATTAAGCTTATATCAACGACGAAAGCTGTCAGTCCATTCGTATAATAAGAAATACTGGAATACTGTTGCTTCCTTAGAAGCTTTGCCTTTCTTCAGTTATTCAGGATTGGTGTCTGATAATACTAATATTATTTAGAAAGCTGTCGGAATTTCCTGACGTTTCCTCCAATTGTCCTCAAGTCTCTATTTTTGATTTTTTTTTGGTCTTTGGTTTTTTTTTTTTAAACATTGTTTCCTGATTCGATAAAACACCGTTGATAAGTGTGTACGACAAATCAGTTCTAGCGTATTCAACGTTGAAATACTGGTTTACTCACTGTATGTCGATTTTGTCCAGCAAAGACATCATATCTTTAAGCACGCACGCAATGTTCTTTTGTTAACCAAATTGCTCTGTTAAGTAAGTACGTTATAACTAACAAATCTACTAAAAAAAATCAAACATAATATCTTAGATTTACGACAAAAATAATGAGGAGCTAACTAGCATTGATAACTTTCAATCAGCACGACACTAAATTGTGAAAGTTTCCGAAAATTGTAATTAAAATGGAAAATATTCAATTATTCATCAATATTTATTTTGTCGCCTTCAAAGAAATCGCAACCAGATGTAATACACTTATGCCATCGGTTTTTCCAATTCTCGAAACACTTTTCATAAGCACTCTTTGGGATCGCCTTCAGCTAGGTCAGCGAATTTTGTTTTATCTCTTCGATCGACTGAAAAACTCCAATTATTTCTGTCCCTTGCCGGAACTCAGCGCATCAACGTCCTGACCCACATCATCAATTCATCTCAGCTTTGATCTACCTCTACTTCTGTTAGTTCAGCATCGATCCAGGAGAATTTCCACTGCAGCCCATTAATTTTAATTGTTGTTTCAATATAGGGGTGCTTATCTAAAGTCTGTAGAAACTGCTTATATCGCTTCCACCTTAAGTCATTATCGTTAAGTCTAAAGCTAAAGAAATTCGTCAGAGGCATTAAGTTTTACAGTATCCTAAATAGATTATCTGTGTGGCACCGCGCACTCTTCTTTGGTCTGATAGTAAGGAGAGATCCATAAATTACGTGAATAATTTGAAACACTAGTCCCGCTGAGTGGGCACTGAAGAAATTTTTCTCAACTTGCTCTTATCTCAAAATCTCATGTGATATTTGTGATTTAATTGATCTTCTGCGTTTCAACTTTTTTCGGAGTTGGCTTTTCGACAGCTGTTACTTAATTTATGCTCAGTTTGGTCCAACAAGTCTGAGACGATTGTCGCCTTGTGTCGTGGTCGAAAATTGGGCCTCTAGGCTGGAATTCATTTGACCCTGCCGCGGCGGTAACCTGCCCGAAATCATTTTTAAAACATATTCTCATATCAAAACCAACATCAAACATTATCAAATCTCATTACAAATCTCACTTTATATACATGTATATATTTTCTATAGCAGTTTAGTTTGAACCAATATCTACCATTTTTAGATACCATTTGCCAAATAACTTTTGCTTAGAATTATTACAATATAAGAAGAAGGGAAGTTGGGGAATCCCGGGCCAGCGCGATATTTTTTCCGTAGTATAGGTTGAGAGCTGCAACCAACTGTCATCGGCTCGTCTCATACTAAGCTCAGTTTCTATATAGCACTCGAGCTGTGAACATGTGTTATAACCTCTCTGCGACAACAAAAAGAAATTCGACACTCCGAAATTTTTTTTTCAACTCTGTGTACAGTTGATTTTTTTCACATTTTCCAATAATTTCATCCAGGTAAATATGTTTATAATATTAGTTGAGCCTTTAGCCTTCGAYACACAAAAGAAATTTTGCACGAATTTACATTGTGTTCATTATCCACCGCCATTTTGCAAATATGAGCGTTTGGGGAATCTCGGGGCACTTATTACTGCGTTATATTGCAGCATTTGATGGTGCGAGCATCGACGTTACTACTGCCAATGCCGATGTAATGAAGAATTTGCTGGCTGAAAGCACGACGATGGGCACAAAAACAGTGAGTTCTGCTGGTTTCTTTCTTTTTCTTTCATCGCATAATAAATAATTTTTTTTTGTATTTCAGATCTTCAAGATCGAACAAGAGAAGGCGCTGATAAGCTACATTCTCCAGGCCAGCGACACCAACTATGGAATTAGTTTGATGGAGCTTCGTAAGCTCGCGCATGAATTTGCTCGGAAAGTTGGCG